GCCCAAGGCACATGACGGTGGTCTCTCCCTCCAACCTCCTTCCTACCAACTCCATTTGCGCGCCCTCGTCAAGCCCACACGTGCATCACACACACACACACACACACTCACTCACTCACTCACTCGCACTCACTCATATACACACACACACGCGCGCGTGCGCGCGCGAAAAAACGGGAAGGGCGGTAGTGTGCGCACCTTGATGGGTGTGTCCCTGAGGCGGAGCGCGGAGAGCATGGTTTCTGTAATGCGCTCGCTGGCTGTGCTGTGCGAGTCCGGGTCATCGAGGAACACAGGGACAGAGTCGATATACCACGCCTTGATAACCGTGTGCACGTCGTCATCCTCGAAGGGAAGCGTCTTGCGCAGCTTCTTTGGAATAATCTCCAGGGGCTTGTGTTGCGCTGCCATCGCTGCAGCCTGCAACCCCAGTCAATGAACAGGGAGGACACGCACACCAAGGGTGAGGAACACAAGCAGGAACAACACACTTGGCACAAGCGCAATTGATCATGTGCAAGGGACAACAAGCAGTCTTGGCACCACAACAGAAGACAAAGAAGGCGGGAGCCCCTACTTCTGTGAGTCGGCGCCAGGGAAGCAAACAAGAAGGTCCTCCTGATGTGGCTACTCTGAGCGCCAACTGTTGTTGTCTCCAACTTCGCTTCGTCTTCGCTTCGTCTTGCTCGTCGTCAGCCGCAGAACACAACAACAACAGAGAGACAAAACAACGAGAAGTCGTGAAAAGTAGTCATATCTTCGTTGACTTATCGGCAGCGAATGGGCGGAAACCACTTTGTGGTGGTAGCTGCTGTTGTGGTAGCTTGCTGCTTTTTCATGGCTTGTTCTTCCTCTTCCCCACCTCTCACTTCTTTCCCTTCGTGCGCATCGCATTTGCGTGGGTGTGTTTCGTGCGCGTGTGTGTATGGTTGTTGAGTAAGCGCACAGACGCTGCTCTCTAATAAAGCAAGCAGCTACAGCAGCAGCTACAGCAAACAGCTACATGCACGACAGAACAAGAAAGGTCTATCCTAGTGGAAACAAGAGGAGGAAGGGAAGAGGAGAGGAAGCCTGCAGCACAGAAGACTGCAGTCAAGGGCAAGAGTGTCAGCACATTCGCACACACACATTAACGCGTGCGTGAGCGGCCGTCACTTGTCCTTTGCCGATTTCTTGGCCTTGGTTGCTTGACGGCGTTTGGTGTCCTTCTTTCCAGCATTCGTCTGCTGGGTGTCAGTGCTGCCGCTGTCTTCTTTGCTGTCCTCCTTGCCTTCTGTTTCTTTCTTGGCTTCCTGTTCCCGCGTTGCCTTTTGCAACTCCTTGACAAACCTGACAGTGAGGATGTGCAAACACGCGAGTCGCTGATGATGAGATGGTTGGTGGTTGGTGGTTGGTGGTGGGAAGAGTGGAGCAAGGAAGTGCACGTGTGCACACACACACACACAGACGCACACTACACACATGTACACCACACACATGTACACTACACACACGCACGCACGCAAACACTGCTGTACTGCTTCCAGAGTGCGCTAACCATGCCATGGCGGCGGCGAGGCCAATGGTGAGGAGGAGAAGCACGATGACGTGTGGGTTTGGTCCAAAGAAGATGAGCAAGCCCACATTGTTCAGAAACAGAGCAATGAACGTGATGCTGAGAAAGCGAATCACCCCGCTGTTCACGCCAGGCATGAAGATGGACTTGACCACCCCTTCCAGGCCATCGTCGCTCCAATTCGACACATCAGGCAGCATCATGGGGTTTGTCTTCGCTTGTTGTTGCTTGGAGGTGGTGGTGGTTTGCAAATTGCAACGTATGGTGTGCAATTTCGTGCAACCTCCCTGCAGGCAACCCAAGATGACCAAAATGTTTGCTGCGGTGACTCTTGTCCTGGCGCTTTGTTGGCTGGCGTGTGTGCCTGGAGCCATACTGAGGGAGGACAACGATGGCAGATTGATCGTCAACACCACGGACCCAACACAACCCGTGTTGGTGAATGGGGTCGACGTGCAGGCTGTGCAACAGGAGCTTCACGAGCTGCAGGATGAGCTTCAGCAGCTGCGTGAGGAGCAGATGATGACAGACACGACAACAGGTCAGCTCGACGCGCTGTGGAGCGTTGCCAATGGACACTCGCGCGTATGCTCAGTTGCACCGGAGAGGGCAGCACAGCTGGGAGAGAAATGCGAGACGCAACTGGCCGGGGGTGCCACAAAGCCGTGGACGCTCGCGGCACGGTTCGCGAACGACGGCATTGACACTTGGACTTGGAATCGGTGCGATCTCTGGCACAACGCTGCGCTGTTGGGGGAGGCCCAGGGTAGCAGCGATTTCAAGGGCCGCGCTTGGCTGGCTCCAGCCAATGATCTCCTCTTCCTCTCAAATACAGGCGAGTGGATTGCGTACGAGAACGCGCTGGGCAGCCAATCCCTGGCGGCTCTCTTCACGGGACTACCGCTTCCATGTGCTTCTGGGTGCTTTTCTTTCACACCTACCCAG